TAACAATATTCAAACTACAATCCACATTGTAAAGTAAAGATCTGTGTTGCACAACAATATTCACTTTGTGAACGTTATTTATACTTGTGTGTACCTTAATTTAAAGCAGCTTCTGGAATGGTAAAACTCTAGGAACAGACGTAATTTTTACACAATTTATCAGAATACTAGTGTAGAAGCTCGTAAAAATGACGGGAAATCATTGTTGAATGATTAACGAAAATTATAGAACTTAACTAAAACGAATTTGTCTGTGCCACCAAAAGGCACATACTCTTCACGTATTTATTCAGTCTCGAATAATTCTTTAATCACCACATTTTTAGTAAAACCTACACAGAAAAATGAAATGTTATTGTGAACAAAAGTAAGTGTGCACTCTGAAGGAGGCTTAAATAGCACTCTTGAGATTTTTCACTGTGTTATAGGTCAGGAAGTAGAAAACTTTCGACTGTACAAAGGATAAAAAGATATTTGGTAGTAATATACTGTTACGACAGCGGAAGTCACGTGACTCTGGTAACACGTAATGAGTATCAAGAAGGATCGAGGAACATCACGAATAATCCAGTATTTGCTAGACGCCCTCTATTCCTGTATATAAGCGCGCCAGATAAAGCGAGATAATTAATGGGAACTGGAATAGCAGACAGAGAGATTGAAGATATAGACAAATAATCGAGTCAAGCCGTAAGTAAAGTGTGTAAATCATTGTGAATTATAGCGTGTGTTTAAGTTAATGTAACGTAAGGGTTGGCTGAAACACTACTTGGTAAATTTTATTTTGCTTTTGGCTACAACTCAATGGATTTCAAATTAACGACTGCAGAAGTGGCCAAAGTTGGTGGGATGAGCCCGAAATGTGTTCAACGGATTCTCCACAGATATGGTTATAGTTGCAGAGCATCTAGACGGAAGCCCTTATTAATATCTGCCAACATAGTCAGACGAAAGAAGGGGGCAAGTGATATGATGACCAAGCCTCTGGACTTTTGGAAGACCGTATTGTTTTCAGACGAATCAAGATTCGCTCAGTTTTCGGACAGTGGAAGGATATGGATCTGGAGAATGCTTCACCAAGAGTTTTGGTTCAACAGATTGCAGCCAACTGTGAAGCGTGGTGGTTTTAGCGTGATGGTTTGGGGAGCTGTTTGGGTTGGTGGGAGATCGAGCTTAGTGGAGTGCGTTGGCAACATAAATTTTGCGAAATACGTCGAAATATTGGAGGAAGGACTCTTGGCACTTTATTCCTCGGGTTTCGTGAACAAGAACCCAACGTTGTTCCAGGAAGATGGAGCACCGTTTCACACTGCTAGAAACACCCA